TGCCACAGCAGGGGTCTCCAACCTTGGCAACTTTAAGACTTGTGGACTTCAAGCTTTGCTGGCTGAGGAATTCTGGGAGTTGAAGTCCACAAGTCTTAAAGTTGCCAAGGTTGGAGACCCCTGTGCCAGAGCATTGCATGGCGCTAGTATAGATGTCTAACTGTATCAACATTTTCCCTTACTATTTCCCCCCAAAAAGTAAAAGTAAACATTCCAAAAACTTTTCCAACCTCAGTGGAAAATTGACCTCATGGCCACTAGATGGTAGCAAAGAGTATTCTCCAGTCCCTGCCATAGTATTCTGGGATTCCAGAGTGGCTAAAGGCCTATTAAACTCTGGATGCTCTCAAATTAATCCACATAATTTGGGAACGTGGCTATTGACAGCCAAGATGGACCTGCTGAATATATAAGTATCCTCGCCTATCAACTCTAATTGGAACCAGCAACTTTGTGGTTAAATAAAATGGTCATTAAGCCAGTGGTGAAATCCACATTTTTTTTACTACCGGTTCTGTGGGCAGGGGAAGGATACTGCAAAATCTCCATTCCCATCCCACTCCAGGGGAAGGCTACTGCAACATCTCCATTCCCACCCCACTCCTGGGGCCAGCCAGAGGTGGTATTTGCCGGTTCTCCGAACTACTCAAAATTTCCACTACCGGTTCTCCAGAACCTGTCAGAACCTGCTGGATTTCACCCCTGCATTAAGCAAACATCATATGATTCCCCTGTTTAGCGATAGTTCTAGCAGTTCTAGCTGTCTCAGTTGTGGTTGTTAAGTGAATGATCTACAGTTATGAAGGAAGACATCATTGTGACAGCAACTTGCCCCCTCCTGCTGGCTTCCCTGTTAATCTTGTGGGAAGGTCACAAATGACCATCATGAGACAGCAGTTACAAAAGTTATGTGGGAGGAATGGTTATCAATTACTCTTTTTCAGTGCTGTCATAATTTCAGTTGCTAAATAAATGGTCATTAAGCGAGGACTACCTGTATGCTACCGAAGAGCTAGCCTTTAAGAAAGGGCTTTTCCATATGTAGACAAGTAAATCAACTTAATTTTCAAAATTCAGTGAATAACGTGGCTGTGGAAACTGGAATACCAGTCTCTTCTTTAGCTGGAGTGAAGGAAGGCCCTCTGCCTATTCTCCATTCCCACTAATGTGTCTGAATCGGAAGACAACACGGGCATAAACAATCAGGTGATGGAAGGCTAATTGATAAAGATAAAGGTTCCCCTCGCACATATGTGCTAGTTGTTCCCGACTCTAGGGGGTGGTACTCATCTCCGTTTCAAAGCCGAAGAGCCAGCGCTGTCTGAAGACGTCTCCATGGTCATGTGGCCGGCATGACTAAACGCTAAAGGCGCACGCAACACTGTTACCTTCCCACCAAAGGTGGTCCTTATTTTTCTACTTGCATTTTTTATGTGCTTTCGAACAGCTAGGTTGGCAGAAGCTGGGACAAGTAACGGGAGCTCACCCCGTTACGCGGCACTAGGGATTCGAACCGCTGAACTGCCGACCTTTCGATTGACAAGCTCAGTGTCTTAGCCACTGAGCCACCAGGTCCCTAGTCAATTGATAGCTTATCTCATAAATGGCAGCTCAGCCCAGGTGGGGAGAACTCTGGGAAGAAGCAGTGTGAACCATTTAAATAGCCAGTGCCTCTAGAGTTCATGCTTTAGTTGGAGTCCAGCTGCCTCGGACTTGATAGGATCCTTTCAATTTGGTTCCTTGTCTCTCTGTGGATGCAGTGACAAATAAGTCAACCTACAGTCAGACCAGCCAGGGCTCTGGTCCCTCTTGCAAGCAAAACAGCCTTGCAGAACAGCCACAGAGTCCGGTGATTGGATGGAAAGGCTGGTCCCATAACCTACCTACTAGAACAGTTGGAAATAAAGAGATTGCTGATGCCAATTGTGTACAGGTAGTCCTCAACTTACAACCATTCGTTTAATCTCCATTCAAAGATACAAGACTGAAAAGGGTATTTATGACTCATTTAACAACTGTATTGCTTAGCCGCCCAGAGTCCCTCGGGAGTTGGACGGCATAGAAATGCGACAAAATAAATAAATAAAATAAATAGCAACAGAAATTCTGATCTCAGTTGTGGTTGTAAGTCAAGGATTACTTGCAATCTCAAGTTGCCTCCTTCCTCCATGCAGTCTAGGCTATCCACATAAAATGTCTTGTCCTGGCATAATATGTGAAACACAGATTCCGCACCAGTGTTTTTTCTGGTGGACTGCATTTTAACACAATCATAGGCTGTGTCCTCAGAAGCTGTAGACTGATAGCATTCAGGTCAAGCTACCATAAGTAGGCTGACCAATTCTGAACAGCAACTAGGCAACTAATGAGAGTGAAAGTATCATAGTATTGTACAGTATATCCAGGGGTGGGCTGCTGGTGGTTCGCAGGGGTTCAGAAGAACCTCTAGTTAAGATTCTGTGCAGTTCGGAGAACCCCTAAATTCCACTCCTGGCTGGCCCCGCCCCGTCCACCCCTCCCAGGAGTCCCCACACAGCCCGTTTTGGATGCAGGTAAGTGCAGGACGTGTGTGGAAGCTCGGGGAGAACAAAAAACGGGCCTACCGGAAGTTCGGGAAGGCCGGAAATGGGCCTGTTTCTGGCCTCCAGAGGGCCTCTGGAGCCTGGGGAGGCTGTTTTCATCCCCCCAAAGACTAAAGGAAAGCCTCCGGAGCCCAGGAAGGGCAAAAACGACCGCTGTGGTGCAGGAGGCTGACTAGGCCATGCCCATCATCGCCATGCCCACCCAACAACCGGGCAGAGAACCCCTTGCTAAAATTTTTGAAGCCCACCCCAAAGTATATCCCTTTGGTGCTTCAGGGTGGTGATCTAGATCAGGGGTCTCCAACCAGTGGTGGATTCCGCCCGGTTCTGCCCGGTTCCGAGCCGGTAGCGGTGACAATATGATGTCACCAAACCGGTTCTGCCCCCAATCCCCACCCCCCGCGTTATTCTTACCTTTTATTTGGCCCCACCCCCAATCTATTGCTGCCTCCTGAGTCCCAGCTGCTGGCTAGAGGGAAAAAAACTGTTTAAACTCTTGCTGTGGGGCTTCAAAAGGCCGCCCTACAGCTGATCAGTGTTAAAAGAAAACAAATGAGTAGACCGGTGCCTGCAAAAATACATGAGTAGATCAGTGCCTGCAAAAATACATGAGTAGATCAGTGCCTGCAAAAATAAATGGGTAGATCGGTACAGCTCTGCAAGCAGTTAAAAGTCTGGTAGACTAGTACCTCTGCTAAATCCTAAAGAATTGTTACATGACCATCAAGCCACACCCACAAAATAAGCCACGCCCACAGAACCGGTAGTAAAAAAATTTAGAACCCATCCCTGTCTCCAACCTTGACCACTTTAAGCCTGGAGGACAGCTTTTCTGGCTGGGGAATTCTGGAAGTTGAAGTCCTCCAGGCTTAAAGTGGCCAAGGTTGGAGACAGATTGATCTAGATTGTTGCTGGCTGGATATGATGACCCTATTTCTTAGCATGTAAAGTCTGGTTTGTACTTCAGTTCAACATGTTATGGGAAGATTTACTTGCACCTTTCTATCGGTTAAGCATAAAAATGGGAAAGTAGGATTGGTATATATTTGTTCATGTCTCAACAGCGGCGAGAATGGCATTTGCTCAACTGTGGAAAGATGCAGACACGCCCCCTGACCATCTGATAATAAACAAGATTCTTCAATGTGCTGAGATGGACAGGCTAACGTATATCTTAAAAGACAAGAAAGATTCAGTATATAATAGAAGTTGGGACAGATGCTTTGTTTGGCTCAAAAGAAGGTTAAACTTAGGAGAAGGGTGATAAGATCGACTAATTAGATTAGCTAGATATTCACTAGGCTTTATAACTCTTTATAATTTTGATAAAAACAGACCAATTGTTTTGTAGTTAGTAAAAAGAACTTGATTGCATTGAAATGTTTGGCTAGAATGATATTAGTTAAACTTGGATGATTTTTATAATACCTTGGTAAGACCACACTTGGAATACTGCATCCAATTTTGGCCACCACAAAATAAAAAGAATGTTGCGACTCTGGAAAGAGTGTAGAAAAGGGTGACAAAGATGAAGGGAGGGGTGAAGGCTAAAACACAGAGCAATAGCACTTAAGACATATACTACTTCATAGTGCTTTTACAGCCCTCTCTAAGCGGTTTACAGAGTCAGCATATTGCCCCCAACAATTTGGGTCCTCATTTTACCGACCTTGGAAGGACGGAAGGCTGAGTCCACCTTGAGCCTGGTGAGATTCGATCTGCCAAATGGCTGGCAGCTGGTGATCAGCAGAAGTAGCCTGCAGCACTGCACTCTAACCACTGCGCCACTGCATGAATGAAGAATATGAAGAATGTTTGCAGGAATTGGATATATCTAGTCTATTGAAAAGAAGAACTGGGGTTACATGATAGCAGTGTTTCAATATTTGAGGGCCTGCTACAAAGAAGAGGGGGTCAACCAGTGGTGAGATTCAGCCGGTTCGGGCCGGCTCAGGCGAACTGGTTGTTAAATTGATGGCTGGCCCCTCCCCTTCTAGGAATCCCCACACGCCCCATTTTAACTCCCAGATAAGTGCAGGGAGGCCTAACAGGCCCAAAACGGGGCACGGGGGGGGGGGGGGACCCCCCCCCCCCCCGCGGCCCATTTTTGTTCCAGGAGGCTGCAGGGAGGCCTAGTAGGTGGGATAAGCATGTTGTGTGAATGCAGCCAATGTGTATCACAGCAACACCCCATCCCATTTTATAGTTTCACTCTCCTTCCTTCACACCATTAAGTTGCCTAATATTTATCTTCTTTTAATGAATTGATTGCGATTTTGTGTTATTGTTTTTATATTGATGTAAGGTATTTTCAGTTGGTACAGATAAGACATGAAATAACTGACTATTTGATCAATAAATAGCAGATAATAGATGCTGGTTTCTTGATAATTATTGTTCCCTCTCTTTTGCTACTAGTATTTCCATGAGGTCCTCATAAGGCAGGAGTGTCAAATTGGCAGCCCGCAGGCCGGATGCGTCATGCACAGGACACGCCCACCCCAGCTCTGCGAAGAGAAAAAAAAGTCACGATATGTCACGTGATGGCAACATGACTCCACGAGTTTGAAACCCATGTCATAAGGCAACCTTGTAGGGTTGTTGTCAGGAAAGTCTAAGATATTATGACTGGCTTCAGTTTTGTGACTGGGGGGGATCAGAACAAATCTTGGATTGCAATATGCAAAGGAAGGAGAAATTATTGTAAAATTAACATTTCAGCAGCAAAACCACAAAATATATTATTTTCCAACAAGGGAGTTTACATTTTGGAAACAATTTACTTCTAAGCATTATATGAAGGGAAGAAATAATAGGATGAATATTGCCTCTGGGCCCTGTCTAGAAAATATCTAATTCACCAACTAATGCCACTGGAGACAGAAGGTAGAGCTGGAGAGATTTTTGGGTTAGCTAAATGAAGCCTCCATGTTTAGAGGCAATATACCTCTGAAAACCAACAGATGGGGGGTGGGGACCACCAACAGAGCAAAACTTCATGCCTTCATAAGTTGTTTGTGGGCTTCCTGGAGGCATCTGGCTTGCAGCTGTTGGAAACAGGATGTCGGATTAGATGGACCTTGGTTTGATCCAAGAAGACATGCCAGCTCTTCTCTGGGTTTCAAGAAAAGACACTACTACAGAGCTATTTTGGTGCATTATGAGAGGAAATATCTTCAATATTGTGCATATTATAAATATAAGCCATCCCGGATTCTAGAAAGAAGTTAAACTATAAATATCAATAAATAAAACGTTGTGTTCTTTTTTCAATTTGTTGTAATCTTGGCAAAAAGAGGAATACCCCCCCCCCGAAAAAAAACCATAAAAAGCAGAATAAAATGTCTTCTCTGCTATGGATAAAAGCCTGGTTTATGTGTGTGCATGTTTTATTTGCTTTTTCTTTATTTGATCTATTTTTGGTTTTATTATAACACATATATAAATCAGAGTATAAAATCCACAATAAAACCAAATTGTGAAATTAAGACAGCATTTTTTTTTAAAAAAAATAAAAAAATAAAGATCATTTTGCATCATTTTTAATGGAGGTGGCTTGGCCATTAAGAAGGAGCCTTTTTTATTAGCTGTTAAGATGTTCCTGGTACCCTTAAGATGATGGAACACCTAGCGTGGCCAGGCCATCTAACAATGATCACAGCACACAGGCAAACTATTGTGGGAACAGATGCTACAGCACATTAGAAATTAACATTAATGGAATTGTAAAAGGAAAAAGATGAAAATGCACCAGAATGACAAAGCCCTATCCAGCAGCAGAGTTATTTATACCCTGTTTTCCCCAAAATAAGACATCCCCTGATAATAAACCCAATCGGGCTTTTGAGCGCATGACAATAAGGTAAACATTTTTAGTGACTTATCACCTTTGCTTAAAATACAACAAATGATCTCTTCTTCCCACACCTCATCTCTTACCTATAAGCAAATACTTAAAGTCTTGTTTTTCAGTTCTGGTCAAGAAAAGTCTATTAAGGGTTATCAGTGACATATCTATTTTAACTGTGATCAAATAAGCCAACTGTATATTTCTTCCCTATACTTTTAACAATATCAAATCTCTTCAAACAACGTCACAGAATTTCATTTCATTTCATTTCATTTTTTAATTTGTCTTTTCTTACTAAATCCTTCAAATCCTTAATAGACCTCTTTTATAAATCCAATATATTAGTTCCTTCTGGTCCCATTTTACTATGGTTTTTGTTTTTTTTATTTAGAATTCAAAATAACAGCATTTTCCCACAGGGATTCTTATCATTAATATTAAAAATCTTATTTCAAATCCATCTGGACCCTTAGTTTGTTTATAACTTTTCAGACGCAACATTCTAATCACCTTTTGCTATTTATTCCACAAAAATATTTTTAAGTTATTAATCTTATATTTAAAAACTATTACCCTACGGATTAAATGAAACCTATAAAACTTGTTAATCCAAAGTTTGTTAATAATTGAAAGTAGTTAAAAAGTAATTCCAAAAGTGAATAAGAAATGAGGTTTGATAAATATCCATACGGGCTATATTACAGCTATGAACTTGAAATTGCTCAAGTCCCAGCTACTCAACTCACAATTTGACTGCAAAACTCTCAGTTCCTGCAGTTTATTCATGAGGAACAGGTGTCCTGAGTGCAAGTGGGCAATCTCATAATCTCTCCTTTTTCTAGACAGACTTCACCAGCCAGAATTCGCTGTCTGGCTGCCAATCTCCACCTCATTGCTGTCCTTGCTCCTTGAGAGATGTTTAGTTCACAATGCATCCTCAATAGAAGTCCAGTGGTGATCCATTTCTGAAAAGCAGCCTCTTGGTTCAAAATGATCACCCAGCTGAAAAAGTAACAGGATGTAGATTAGTCACAATTCTAGTTTTGCAATACCCCAAATGATGTCTATCAGACATTTTGCCACACATCTACTTTTTCAAATTTTTAAAGATTTACTGTATTGCAATACAATACAATACAGTCTCCAGACTCAGTTTTATTTCCAAGAACGTCCTCTAATTCCATATTGGCTCCATAAGATTCCTTAGATAATAAAAACTACACATGGCCATGATAGAATAAACATTAGCAATTTGCTTCCCTTCACTGGTCATCTGGATGTCTGCAGCCCCATGTCGTAGAGTAGCTAAAACGTTGGTGGACATATTGAAGAACAAAGTGCTGGACTAGTATTTTCTGAATGATTGTATTTCAGCAATGAGCAATATAGTCTCAAGGAAGCAATATGTCCACAGATACCTGTCTTGATACCCAACAGCCCTCCTGTGTCATCTGATGTTAATTTCTCTAATTTGTTCAATACGTCTATGTACATAAGTAACAGGTTAGGGAAAAGAAACCTTTTCTGCACAGGGGAGACTCTTCCAACAGTATGGATGGACACACTTAAATTAGAAAAGTCAATTTTATTGCATATAAAATTTATTTTCCTTATTTGGCCAGGAGGGCTAGATTACTAAATTCTAAATGGGGTCTCATGAGGACAGAGTTACTTCACCTGATCTGAACTCTCTGCTTTTGTTAATGCATCCCAAGGTATGTTTTAGCTACCGCATGATGTTGCTGGCTTATATTTAATTTGTAATTGACAAGGGCAGACAGATCATTTTCACATTTCCTATTGCCAAGCCATCCTTTACCTGTGCCTTACATTTTATGCTAGCCAGATGTATAAACATACATTCCTCCTTGTTAAATCCCATCCTACTCATTTCATATCACAATGAAAGCCTGCTTAGATCTCGGTGAATCTTTCCTGTTTCACTCAAAGCAGTAATTCTCAATCTTGGCAAGTTGAAAATGTGTGGACTTCAATTCACCGCCCTGAGTCCTTCGGGAGAAGGGCAGTATAGAAATTTAATAAAATAAAATAAAATAAAATAAAATAAAATAAAATAAAATAAAATAAAATAAAATAAAATAAAATAAAACCACCAGAGGTCCGCAGCCAGCATTAGCCACCCCTCCCCATTAGTGTCATCTACAACAGGGATCTCCAACCTTGGCTGAGGAACTTTGGGGGTTGAAGTCCACAAGTCTTAAAGTTGCCAAGGTTGGAGACCCTTGATCTACAAAGTTTTTGTTGTCATCTAAAGTGTCTTTAACTTCTTCATTCAGGTCATTGATAAAAACAGCACAAAACCCAGGACTTAGCTCTGTGGCACTGCAGTTGAGACCCATAGTAGTGTGAAAACAACACGGAGTGACATGTTCCTTAGAGGGTAAATGCTTTTGTTGTCTTTTAAAACTCACTGTGGGAGTTATGTCAAATATTTGTTTTGCTTCATCGCTGAATCATCGTAAAAACAAACAGTCTTCCTTTTTGGGGGGGGGGGAGCAATCATCAAATAGAAAGCTGCTGGGGTGGCTGATGAGGACAGAGAAGGCTGGAGGAACAGGGAAGAGCAGGGTGTTATTAATTTTTTGGACCAGTGAGCACAGCTAGAATTTGGAAAACATGGCAAAGGTGGTCTCACCAAATGGGTGTCATGAGAGGTTTGCTTGTACACAAAATGGCAGTAGCTGCCAGTTACAAAAATTGCTCCAGAAGGCAATATGGCTCCCACCAGCAAGTTCCATATTACCCAGTTTGTTTTGGGTAGCTTGCCCCTGCATACTTACATTGATGATTGAATTAGCTATTATCTGGGTTTGCCCAAAGCATTGAAACATAACCTAATAAACAAAAACCAGATAGGGGCAATCTTTAGGGGAGTGGGGGTTGCATTAATACTGTACAATACAGATAGTCCTCAAGTTACATACATTCATTTAGCAACTCTTACAATGATACAATGATACTGACTTATGACCAGTCCTCACGCTTAGAACTATTGCACCATCTCTACGGTCACATGATCAAAATTTGGGTGCTTGGCAACTAGCATGTATTTATGATGGTTGTAGTGTCCCAGGGTTATATGATTTCCATTTACGACCTTCTCAGTCGCCTTCTGACAAGCAAGTGAATGGGGAAAGCTGCATTCGCTTAATGACCACATGATTCACTTAATACCTGCACTGATTTACTTAACTGTGGCAAAAAGGGTTGGTAAAATCGGGCGTGACTCACTTAACAACCACCTTGCTTAGCAATGGACATGGTCCCAATTTTGGTTGTAAGTTGAGGACTACTTCTGCAGACCTCACTCATTTTGCATATGTGTGTCCCAAAGGGGTAGATTTTGTGGCATGATGGTACAGTGCAGTGGTGGGTTCCTCCCAGTTCGGCTCGGTTCAGCCGAGCCGATAGCAATGTGATATGATGTCACAGAACCGGTTCTCTTTGTTCGGGAGCTGGGCCCTCCCACCCACCCCTGGCGTTATTCTTACCTTTTATTTGGCCCGCCAGTGCTATTTTGTGCACTGAAGCATCAAACAGCAGGAGCTGTGGGTGACCATGCTGGGTTCATATAACAGGTTGAGCCACATGGGAGAACGGTCCCCAAAGTCAAGAAGGCGCTTGTGAACATGTGATCGAAGACCTGCCTCTCCATGTCAAAAGGATTGGGTCTTTGATTGCATTGTTAAGCTGTCATCTTGACTCTTCTGATCTCCTGCACATGCACACACACACACACACACACACAAAGTTAAACCTAACTGAGCTCAGCATGTTATATGAAGGCAGCCATAAATGTGACATGCAAATCTAACCCAAGCTTTCAGGCTCCTGCCATTTTACCTTTCCTAAGTGATTTTCTATCATGTCTTCCTATAATGAATATGCTACTGCTACAGATCTATACTTCTCTTTGTAAAATTGCCATCTTCCCATTTTTAAAGAGCTGTCGAAAATGGAGAACTTTTCCATTTTCAAGTGGAAAATAAAGCTTGGCAGGCCACAAGAGAGGTGCCAATATCGTTTTCAGTTCCTGTGGGTTTTTTTTTTTTATTTGAACATTTTGTGACCCTGGCATGAGCCTGGAGCCTTTTGGCTTCCCTGAAATGGAAAATGGCTGCCACACATTGACACACCAAATATGCAAATTGTCCTGAAAGGTTTCCTTCCTTCCAGCTTTAGGAATGAGATACTGTCTCTACACCCATGCAGACCTTTACAAGTTTTGAAAGGGCGAGGCAAAAGCAAACAACCATTGCAAAGGAAAGTACTGTACAAAGCACATTGGCTTGCTCCGTCAATAACATACAGCTTGATGGCGCACAATCTCTGAAGAGGCCAGACTGTGAGAGACCTCAGCCAGATGTTTGCACATCCAGCTGTTATGTGCCTGGCAGAACTCCTCAGGTCACTGACCAAAAAGCAACTGAAGTGCCCTCAATTAGAGGCAGCCCTGCCTTTTGTGGGCCCAGCTTCACGGGTCTCCATCTTACT